CCCCCCTCAACGCCGCACCCCCCCCCCCCCCCAAGAAGGCTGGCGTCATCCACGCATCAAGGGACTGGACTGTGTGAAAGGTACCGACAGAATGGCAGGGACAAACAGAACTTGCAAATTTTTCCAGGTTCAGAAGCAAACGGATGGCTTTAATTGTCGCCTGTGTCACTTTGCGCCTCATTTTGTATGGCACTTCTCCTGGGCACGTCATTTCACACCGTCCCCTTTCTCCGTCCCTCCAGGAGAAGTACGGCACGCAGCACTCAGAGGCGTGCCGGCAGATGTCGACGCTGGAGGGCGAGCTGGCCGAGGCCACGTCCATCCGAGACCACCTGCACAAGTACATCAGGGAGCTGGAACAGGCCAATGACGACCTGGAGCGGGCCAAGAGGTGATTTAAGGCCGGGGGCGCCTTTCAACATCTGTAGGCGGCATGAAAAGTGGCAACCACACGGGGGCGGTATGTGGTTGATAATGCAGTCTTGGTTTTTTGTTGCGTTTCAGGGCCACCATCATGTCGCTGGAAGACTTTGAGCTGCGCATGAACCAGGCCATCGAGAGGAACGCCTTCCTGGAGAGCGAGTTGGACGATAAGGAGAACCTGCGCGAGTCCGTGCAGAGGCTCAAGGACGAGGCCAGAGGTCGCGACATACTTCCCGTTCTTTCACTCATGCGGTCACTCGCTCATTCATTCATCAGCAGATGGCATTTTAAGGAGACCTTCATTCAGTGCCACTTAAACTTTAAATCCAAACGATTTAAACAAAATTACAGCTGAATGCCATATTTAAAAATGAATTAAATGTTTTTTCTAACCCAATTCTAATGTCACCCTTAAATGTTACATCAAATTTATTTTAAATGATGAATGTTTTTCAATATTTAATGAGTTTTCTGTAGAATAAATAAATGAATGTTTTAACAAATGGAAGTTATGTTTAATTCTAACAATTTAATATTTTCATAGAGGGGGATATTAGAAAGCTGAAAAAGTGCAATGCTATAGCAATAGTCGTATTAAAAGATTCTTTTTATTTATCATTTTTATCATTTTTTTTAAATAAAAAAAACGTTTTTGTTTTTTTTCTCAAGAATGAAATCAGAATTGTTGAAGGACAAGTCGTCATTTTCTCATAATTCTTCATTTTGTGATGACTGACGTGTTGCAGACCTGCGCCAGGAGCTGGCCGTACAGCAGAAGCAGCACACGCACGCACAC